AATTGTTTCAAGGGAGGTGAAACTAATATAGCTGAAAGAAAATAGCAGTTTACCTTACACATTTGGAAATGCAGGTGGTTTGCTTCTGTCACCTGGGCAGACCAAAGTAAGAGAACAGCAGAGACCTGATGATAAATGCTGGCAGCAGGTTTAACCAGGAGGAATTAACACCAGGGAGGGCCTCGGCCGTCCTGCCCGCTCGGGGCAGCACCAGCCACAGTCTCTGCACACAGTACATTCCAACAAGCTTGCCCTACCGAAGGATCAACTGAGGGTGAATCTCTAACCTCTGAAATTCTGAATCCTCCCACCTCGCACCCAGTACAGGCCACTGAAGTTGAGCATCCATTTGAAGATTCTTTGTTTTCCTTTTCTAACGCACAATTGCCCATCAGTCAGCCTTCCTCCCATCTCCTGTGTTGAGCACTCGGCATCCTTCAGCCCTAAATCCTCCCTGCAATCTACCCACCGACCTATACGGCACATACCCTGCCAAACTACACCAGATCAGGCCTACCAGCCTGTCCGCAGCTCCGGACGGCAAATCTCAGAAATATCAAATGGCAGCAGGCATGTTTTACACAGGCTCGGGTCCATCTTCCTGGCGCCCAGCCTCACCAGACCTTCCAGCACCCCACGAGCTTCCGCTGTGGGACTCCCAGCCCACATGCCATCAGAGAGATGTCCATCCTACCACCTGGAAAAAAAAAAAAAAAACTGCCCCAGAAAGCAAGTTTGTTCCCTGTACCACAATCCAACAAAGTCCTAGGGGCAGGATGACTTTCTTCATGAGGCACCCTCTCCAATACCTTGAAAACAAGACAGAGCAGCCCCCAGAATGGTTTTATTGAAATAACAGGAGCCATTCTACAAATGGAATAAAGAAAAATTGCAATGAAGAATTCATATACTGGTTTTCTAACCTTTCTGGGGGATGACCTAAATGAAAGGCAGGAGGAATGAAGCTGGCACGGATAACTACCATAAGGCGCAACTACTCTTTCAGCTCCATTCCATATCAACAGTTTTCTGAACTACTGGCTTAAGCCATGTAACGGATTTCAGTTTCTCTCCACACAGCAAACTACTGCTTCAGTCCCTGAAACTTCCTTGAGAATCTACTCCATAAGCAAGCCCCAACGGTCTTGTTAAGATACACTGATGACAAAGACTTGTACATTAATAGGAGATAAAGCCTTTTTTGTTAATGTCACTTCATCACACTGCATTGTTTAAAGAACTGAGCCTTTGATGACCATCCCTCGGTGACATACAGGATTTTTTCCTTGCCCTCACAGCAGGCAAGGGCACCACGCTGCTTTCCACATTTCCTCCATGAATACACGAAGAAAAACACTTTCTCCTAAGTTCATGTAAAATGGACAGTACTTAAACATCAGCTCTTGGGGGCTGCAGTTCGGGCACACTTACTGTGCTGTTTACACAAGCCCTTCCCGGTGGCACGCATCCCAGACCCACCACCTCATCTTTCTCAGTCACAGCAGTTTTAACCACCCTGCTGCTCTAGTCTCATCATAACTCCCATGTTCCCACTCCCCAAAGGTGGAAGGTACCTACAAATATCTAAAAAGGTCGAGGCTTCACTTTCAGCTCCTTCCCAAATCACTTGTGTGTAAGAATAGTCATGGGCCACTTTGCCAAGAGGTAAAAAAATTACACTGTGTGCTGGGAAATGCAGTATGCCTAATTTAACTACCTGTTTATTATGTGAAAATGACCATGTAAACTGAGCTGACACAAACCAAATGGGTGATGAAAATAACAGCACATTTCAAGGAGTGGAAACACAGATGGCTCACTCAAGTCTGCAGGAAGTTACTAATCATCACTCTGTAATACCCTCCACAGACAGATCTGGGAGCTCTGCAGCCAGAACAGCAACTTCTTGAGACCAATCCAGGTAACCAACAGCAAGCCCAGACACAAACTCTCACTCTAACTTGACAGAAGACTAAAGAGAATGCAAAAATTAAAAAATTCAATGGATGGATGAAATCACGCTGCTATTTGCTGATGTGGAGTCTGTTTCTAAAATTAGCTTATCCGAAGAAGAAAACAACTCACATACTAAGTTGGACACATCAGAAAATGAGGTAGCCACATAAGAAGAGTATGTTTGGGGTTTTTTTTTTAGAATAATGTAAGCAGATTAACATAACCACCTGCATATCTGTGCTGTAGGAAGAATGGGCAAGATCAGACACAGGGACTATCAATGAACGGACAAGAAGACATCCAGAAGAAATGCTTCAGGCTACCATAGTGCACCTAGAAGAAGCAGGTAACCAAAGATGTCACCAAGATGTAAAGAGTCGTTCTTGCCTCCATATCAGCATCAGCTCTGCTGGAAGGGATGGATCCAGCCCTGCCACGCTGCAAACTCTCCTCAGTCTCTGTCCCTGGCCCTGTTCCCCTCCCATGGCTGTCTGAAACACCCCGTGGGAGCAGAGCGCAGTCCGCACAGAAAGTCTCTACCAAGGCAGCAGGTCACCGAGCAGGGGCAGGAAAGAGATTCGGTTTTACATACAAATTCTATGGGCCAAAACTGTCAGAACAAGAGCAAATTACATGCAAGTGTGATCATAAATAGTCAAATGACAACTAAGTCAACAGACAACAGGTTAACATCCTTGCAACTTTTATTCCAGTTTATTACCCACCACTCATAAGTCTGGAAGAAAAGCATCTATTCTGTGAGAAGCGTTAAAACGCATTTTGTTCTTAGCTCAGCCAAAAGGAAAGAATCTGATTGCAAAAGTGTTGAAGGCAACCAGAGCAAAGCAGTCAGTAATTAAGTGTAAATAGGTATAAATAAAGCTAATGGCAGCCTCATATCCTGGGTGCTCCATCAAGTTTACAACAGCTCAAATCCCCACTGAGTTTGCAAGCAGCTCTTTTGGCACCTTTCCTTACTCAGCAATTCCCCCAGCTTTTACACTCTTCTTTCTTTACAAACAAGATAAAACAACACAAGAACTTTAGGAGCTCTGACTCCGGAGTGAGGTGACCCCAGAGACTGTCAGCGTGGAGCTGCGCTGCCGCAGGCTGGTGGCAGGGCTGCTTCACCCTCCGGGCCTGCTTCCCCCGCGGGGACCCGCCTCATCCAGGGTGCTCAGTGATGCTGCAATGCTCTGGAAATGTGCGTTTTCTCCTGCCTACAAGCTGCTCCCAGAACTCCCTTTCAGCTACATGAGGCACGCTGTCTGTGACTTTTGGCACTGGGTCACACTGAGGTTTTTACAGGCGGCTCCCAAGGTCATGAAGGCGGCTACCCTGGGCCCCAGCTGAAAGACAGCCCCCCGGGGCCCATCTTCTGATGCAACCCTCTGCACGTTAAATGAAGTGGGATGTATCCCGGTCATCACTTCAGGCTCCCAACAGCTCGCAACAGTCCAGAAATTCAACTTAAAAAAACTTTACTCAAACTCTGTGATACTCAGAATATGTGTGAGACACAGAATGTGTCCATGATGCTATTTTACCGCGCACACTCAGCACGCTGCATCCTACAGGATTTCCCAATTTGAAGCAATCTGATAAGTCTGCATAATTTGATGTCCTATTTGCAAACACACACAGGGTGGAAAACTGATATGGAATATTCTGGATTTCTGACAAGAAATTATCAATGCAAGGTGGCTCTCATGCTTTCCTGTCTATTAGCAATAATATAACACCAAATCCATGAAATTCGTCAGCTGAGAACATGACAGAGCTACTAAAAAAGTCCCTCATTTATAAACTCCTCATAAGAGTAAAAACACAGTTGTTGATCCCTGCCACATACATGAACAGTGCATGAAGTTGCACTAGCTCAGCTGCGGTGCCTGGCTCTAGCAGAACTCTCTCATACTTCAGTTAAGGTTACTGTGACTAGTGCTTAAGAACGTTCATTCCCACTTCCACAGGGATAAAAGGTTACTGGGTCACTGTGAAGTCCTTGTGACACTTGGAGGATAAATTAAAGATCTCAGCTTTGTTACTCCCCTGAACACTGAGACCCACTGAGGCACTCAGCTGCAGTGCAATCGGTTCTGTAAAGAGAGGGATCTGCAAGATCAAGACAGAAGTCACTATACTCCTATCAATCACTTTCTAAAATCTGCTCCCGTAAGATGTTCTATGATTTTATATTCTGCTAAACACTTCCCTAAGTTTGGTTATTATGGAGATACAATATATTTAGACTGGCCTTTGACAGTAGTCCTAAAACTGCTAAGCCTGTTGAATATTTAAAGAATTAATTTTATTGCTATAGTCTGTTAAGATAGCTTTATTACCAAAATAAACTTACCTTTAGTGCATATCAATGAATAAAAACTTAACTCACTCATCAGGATAGCAGAAGATTTAATTTAAACTCTATTAATAAACTAATGAAGTAAAATAAAATACTATGCATTACATTATGTTTAGGGCTTGTTTATAATTTCACATATTTTCATGCTAGTTTTTTCATACTATGATATTGAAGGCAGATTATTAAAATAAAATCCACTGTGGCAGTGTGGACTTATCTGCTTTTCCAGTGATTCTTCTATAATTCGTACAAGCAGTTCTCTATCTTCCCAGCATACATTAATGATGTTACAATACAATACACATTAGCCACGCTGTTCATATCCCATGAGAACTAAAATACACACGCATCTGAAAGGAAGAAATGCATGCTACAGGGTTCTCCGAGACAATAGTTCATTTTCTCTTTTTTTTTTTTTTCTTTTACTAAAATAACACATTTAATGGAATTTCCTGTAAGGAAATTACAATTAATAAAGAACTAAATTACAAATCCATTAGATTTCAGTCACTGCAGCAACAAAACAGAGTTTTCACGAACACTCAAAAAATCCAATAATGTAACCTCTGGTAAAGCTTGAAAAAGCCCTGAAGGACAAGGCAGTCAGATCAATATTAGTTTATTTTAACTGCTGTGCAGTATGAAGAGATGAGGCTGATCATCTGATGGATTTTATTACCTGTCGGAGAGATAAGTCCTGGTGATAAGAGGCCTGGAACTCCATGGGGCAGAAGGCGTGCATTTTCTTGTATCGCAACTCCTAGGGAACGCTTGGGGGGTCTTCCTGGTCGTGAGCTGATGAAATAAGAAGGATAAATGAAAATGCATTTTCTTCTTGAAATATTTCCTTACTAGACATAGTATTGATTTGTATAAAATATATGAACCATCAATGATGCACAAAAATGTATTAGAAATTCTTGCCTAATAAAAAGAAATAGAAGTTGATTAAACATGAAAAAATTGTACAGGTTTGAAATGAATGAACCTTTACAGATTCGCTGGTGCTTTTCATTATTCCAGAGAGGTTAAACCAAGAATGTAAGCTCAACCTGTCAAAATTCTCACCATCCCTTGACCAGCTTACGAATTCTGATTTCAGTTTTTAATCCAAATTGTTAAAGGTCTGTTTACAGACCTGTTACATTTAACTATTGTTTTCAGCTACATTTATCCTTTACATCAGTGTGTGTACATGAAAGCGTCCTACACAGCTGCCATCATAATACAGAGATTTACAGACCAAAAAAGCATTTGAATTGACTTTTCCCCAAGCCAGCTAATAAAAATGCAACCTCCTCATGTTTGGCAAAGTATTGCTGCTCCTCTTTGGTCAAAACAAATCTTACTCTGTTGAATAATAGAGCTTTTGACAAAATACAGCAACACATTGTATAAAATAACTAAGCGGCAACAATGAATGAGGTTTGAATAGAAAGCATTTCCAAAATGACTTCTAGTTCAAAGAATTTTAAGTTAAACCTCACTCCATCAACTTGCAGTGGCAAAGCCCTCCATCAATGTAAGACAAACTCTGCGTTTAAATGAAGATAACTTCCAGCAGCACTCCGCAGAGGTACCATTAGCCTGTTCATTTTTCACAGTGTGCTAGTGTTATTTTGTTTTACTGTACATCAAAGAAGCAGAAAATCATTTTTTTTGGTTTATTATTTTATCTCTATAAAACTATTCCCCCCTCTTTGGAGCTTCAGCTTTGTCTATTCTGTATTTTATTTTATTCAGTACTTTTTCCATTTTTCTTTTTTATGTTTTAAGTTGTTTATCATACCATGATGGCTGTGTAGTGAAGCCCACTAGAAGAGCTGAGGCTCACTAGGCTATAATAAAGTAAACCTAAAAGAAGAGGATTTGAGTTCCACGGGAAGTTAGACGCACACATGCATTCTCTATTAAAATCACCTGCTGAAATCATCCACTGCACAGAATACTGGCTAACAGACAGCATTAGGCTGGCATGTGGGGGTTTTAAACAAAAAAGAATTGTTGCTCTTTTGATTTACAGAAGTCTGTGCACACACACACACCCCTAAGTGCTTAGCTGGCACTTACTGTACCTGAAAAAAATTACAAAACAGCTAAAATTAGCAGCTTTCTCCAGCAGAAGAGCTCAATCAACAAAACATTCTCTTCCCAAGCTCAAATACTAACAAATCTTTTACATAAAACTCCATATGTTGATATTAATCTAAGAAAAACATTTTTTAAAATTAAACAGTTTTAAAAGATTTTATGAAGAGACATTTTATTTTTGAGTTGGGATTTCAGAGGGAGAGGAGGGGAGACAATGGCGTTTCACTCCTGGGGATGCACTTTTTGCACAGAGAACAGTTTATTTCAGTGACTCTGCTGCCTCTGAGGAGACAACTTCCATATGTTGATATTAATCCAAGAAAAACATTTTTTAAAATTAAACAGTTTTAAAAGATTTTATGAAGAGACATTTTATTTTTGAGTTGGGATTTCAGAGGGAGAGGAGGGGAGACAATGGCGTTTCACTCCTGGGGATGCACTTTTTGCACAGAGAACAGTTTATTTCAGTGACTCTGCTGCCTCTGAGGAGACAACTCGTAGCCCACACGTACCACATCAGGTGTTCCCCAGCACACACCACAAGCAGAAGTGAAACTCCACAATCTGTAGTTCCTACAGTGTGGATGACTGGAGGCTCTGGGTTTTTGTCTCTGCCTACACTAAGGTTACAGAGTCATGCTCGTCATCCTCTCCACCCCATCCCCACAAAATCACTAACTCTGAAAGAGAAAAATGAACTCATCTGAATGTTGTTCATTTTTGTATTTTGTTTGCAATTAAATCTGACAGAGATTAAACTACATTTTAAGCAATAGATTGGACCGTTAAAATTTATATGGTAAAATGTTGAGAAATTGTCCATTTATGTCTGTTTTTCTTTTACTTTCCACTCCTGTTGCGAGCTGATTTTATTATGGCTCCTCTCACAGTTTTATATATTCCGTAGACATTCCAAGGATTTTGTATTTGAATCAAAACACAGAATAATGGTATTTTTGTGATTTTGCTATAATTCCTGATCAGCTCCATCTTTTATAACACAATTTTATGCCCATTATAGACAACTATACTCCATAAAATCCACAAATTCATCAACACTTTGTAAAATGTAATTAATCAGTGGAAACATACAGCACATCACTGTTGATGTATGACACTGCTCTACTTTTGTACTTTTAAATATAGGAGATTTACTAGAATCAGAAGTGAATTTGCATATTAATCAAGACAAATAAACATGCGGTGATTTAACTAGGAAACCGTTATTTGGATGACAATTTAATCAGCACAGGTTGAAAGGTCCATCACTGCAGCATCCTGTTTCTGCTAAAATATTGATTGCGTTACTGATTTCAGTAATGCTTTATTTTACAGGGCACAAATAACCATGTAATTACTCTTTAATTGAATGGTAATTGCTTGCTGGCAATTATTTGTTAATTTTTGGAGTTTAATTACTAGGTTATTTGTGCTTTGTGAAATAAAATGTTATGTGTTAGTAGCCCAAAATATTTCCTCTCTCAATGGCCTGTCAAAACTAGAAAAGTAAGTTATGATGGTAGGAGTTTGACAAATAACACTATAACACTAAAACTATTATTAAAAGGGTCAGACGAATCTTTGAATGCTTTCCCTTTACAAAATCAACATTAGATGTAACATTTGTAAGATAAATGGAAGAATACCATACCACAGAAGCATGATTTCCTCTGGGGTCTAGTCCACCATTTAGCATAATTTATTCTGATGTTTTGCTTTTCATTCTCTGGGCTTCTTCAAAGGAACTGAAATAGTATCCTATCCTCTTGAGAGCAAAGAATAAACCAAGTAGAAATATATTTCAACAGTACTTCATATTTCTGCAACTGAAGTGGATTACCACCAGCACATTATCTTAGCAGCCTATAAACTCTGTAGACTTGGCAGTTAGCTAGATAACAAGGGAAAGCATTATGTCTTGCAGTGTCAATGAGATATGACACATTCTGTGATATATTTATTCCAAGTTGTGATAGATGAGGTACCTGATACTTTGATCGTTAAGATTTGAATTTTACATCTACACTTTTCATTTTGTCATCAACTGTTTATGAATTGTCAGTAGGCAGTCTAGCAAGGACTGCTGATTTTGTTTCTTCAAAAGATATCCACTTAATAAATTCATTATTGATTCCATGAGGCTTGAACTATTTGGTATAAAAATATGCTAGACTTGTGATTTAGGAAGCTCTCATATGTGTCGCAGATTTCTTCAATAGCAACATATTTTATTAGGCTTAAAGGAGAAATACAGAAGTAGGATATGACATGCTGTCTGAACTGCTCTGATAGTAGTGGCAGTAACTGGTACAAGTATTTAGAAGGGGAAAAAAAGAAAATACCACAAAACCCCACAATCTTAGTTGCTTTCCTGAAACTGAAATAGGAACCACAAATTAAAATTTTGTTCTCCTTGAAGATGATGAAGTACAGGATAGTGATTGTGAAAGGTATTCTTTGAAGCTTTTACCAGTAAACATCTTGATAATTTGAGTTAAAACTATTTCCTTTTATTACCCTAAGATTTTTAGTTGTAGCATGGATTTAAAATAATCTCCTTCCTCCAGCATTTATTACAACATTTCAAAGATGCCAATGGTAGTTAAACTCTACTTGACCTTTCAGTGTTTAAGAAGAGAAGCAAACTCTGACCTCGCAGCAACCTGATTCTGTCTCCTCTTAGCGCTGGCAAACTGATCACTTGTCTAACCATTGCAGGACATTGGATCACCAGCCACATCAAAGGCAACAAGAGCCAATTCAATCCATGCAAAATGGGCAATTAACATTAATCATACATGAAGTTGGTTGAGCTGATAACTAGAACCTGGTCCCTATGGCAACTCTCATAGAAGAGTGCCCACACCAGCACGAGCAGAGCCACAGCTCATCTTCCACGGCTCCGCGCGCTCCCTTCTCACTTCAGCAGGCAGAAGGAAACTGGGGAAAAAAACTCTGACACTGCAAAACAAAATCTTCCCACTCAATTCTCCAGGGTTTACAGTGAGGAAGGTCCTCAGCATTAGCCTCAGTGAAAATGTCAGTGGAAGTTTGTTCTTAAAGGATCACAAATCTCAACTTTTTTTCTGTCATTACGAGTTGGTGTTACTGTTAGGAAAAAAGTCTCCTTAATACCACTGAACTGTTCAGAGCTGGGACTGAAGTGGAATATTTATTAACTTGATCATTAAGAATGGAAAGTATCACATTATCATTGTGTTCATCCTAAATATCACAGATTAGTGAAAGCCCAATATAGATCTGAATAATATCACATACACTTCCCTTACCAAGAACTAGGTGGGTTAGTTCAGAAACATCCCTGCTGACACAAACTGTGCATGCTGCAGCGACAGCAAGCGAACAATTGCATCAGCTGTCCCCTGGCGATATGGCCACTCTTTCTCTTTTAACACGTAGCCTTCAGGTATCCCAGCTCACAGCCGGTTTCTCTCTCTGGGCCCATCTCCACGCTCAGGCTGGTACAGTGGGCTGCCTCGGAGCCAATCTGCTGCATCTTCCCAAGAACTCTGGAGCTGGAGGAACCTTTCTTCCAGGCCAGGAGCACTTTAGCACCCGACATCCAGCTTCTACCAGAGCAGTCAACAGTGACACGGAGGAACTGGAAGCGTGATGCACCAAGCCTGTCACCAAGGTCCACATTCAGCTACTCTCCTGGAATTACTGCACTTTTGGTCCTATGGGGCTGAAGGCCTCTCACCCTTTACCTAATCTTTTCCTTAATTTTTGTACCCATCCCTGTCCCATCCCACCCAGTCTACCTCCTCCAGTCCCTCTATCCCACATTTGACCATTGTCCAACTTCCCGAGTATTTATCATCTTCTGCTCTTAACCCCTCCATCACATCACTTCTGTCTTTCAGACCCTAGCTACCTTTAATTGCTTCCCTCCCATCCTCCACCTCCTGCCAAATTCCCTCTTATCCTCTGGTCCTGGTCTCATCTCTCCGTTTTTCTGGGAGCTCCCCACCCCACCGAGAGCAGCTCCAGTGCTAACACCTACTCTGACTTAATAACGAGAAGAGGGGAGGCCTGACCAATGCCAAATGCTTTCTGTCTCCCCTGGAAATGGCGTGGGGTGGCACTAGCATTGGGGTGTCGGTGTTGCTGGGTGACTCACAGAATCATAAAGCTGAAAGAGGCCTCAGAAGGTCGCCTGCTCGCTCTACCTCTGCCCCAAGGCAGGATCAAGTACACTCATATCATTCCTGACAAATGTCAGGCTAGTCTGCCTCTGAAAACACTCGGTGCTGGAGATTTCACAACATCCCTCAGCAAATCCGCACCACTGGTCAGGGCAGCCTTCCTATCAGGAAAGGTCTGTCGGGGAAGAGGGCTGACATCTAACCTAGTTCTCCTCTGGTTAATTTAAGCAACGTACTTTTTACCATGTCTGCTGAGTAGATGGCAAACAAGTTCTATTTTCCTGCTTTACAGACACTCTCTGTATTCTTTGAGAACTTGTGCTACAAATAGTAAAAGCACATACCTTATCCCCAGATTGCAGGTAGAAACAGCGTAACTTGACCCTATTTAGTTTTTCCTTACACCACATATGTCTTTATCAAGCTGAATCCTACTTAAGACAAGCTTTCCACTTTGTCACCATAATTTTGCATCCAAATCCCATTCTCCAGTGTGCGTCAAACCCCTATCACCTTGCTGCTGTCTTTAATAAGAATTTCTTTTTTCATTAACCAAGCAATTATTGAAGTCCCTGAACCAAACTGAAAGCAGCCCCCATATTCAGGACGTGCTTCCAGTTCAATCTGGACTAACAGTAACCATCAGCTCAGCATGGTTTTCCAGTATGCTTGTTTCTAAACTTGCATTTTCATGTGGACCATATTTTTCTAGTTTGCTTTAAAGAAAGTCATGTGACACTTCATTAAAAAAGAGGATGCTCTTCCCAAAATTTCTGCATATATAACATTCTACAAACTGCACCGGACTTATGGACAATCTTATCAGTAGTATTACACTGGGCAGATACATATATGGTGTGACAGCCAGACACCAACAGCAGTGAGCTGGTTCCCCTGGATAATAAGCAAAGGAGTCAGGCAAGCCAAGTCCCTCTACCCTGCACGTTCCTGAACTGGCCACCAAAAGATCTTGTGGGGAGCAAAGAAACCCTCTATTTTAACACATCTAATTACTTCTGTATATTTTCTAGATGCCAGCTATGTCTCACACCTCCTGGGAGCACTGGCTCCCCTGGCACGACTGAGGAGAGGATGTGCAATGACTGGGCTTTATTCTCCCTTTTTTTCCCCACGGCAAATTCTTAGTTTCCACATTTGCCACAACTGAGTCCAAATATATCTCTGATTATTAATACAAGTGTTGACATCTTCTTGATAAAGATTCATTAAATTTTCTCTTTGTCAAAGAAAGAAAGGTGATGGAACAGACAATTTAAGGGTTGACTACTCACCTGACAAAAAGTATAACTGTGAAGCTATTTTATACTTCATTTACTTGACCTAGTTACAGTACTTCTAACCCCAAATGTTCACAGATCATGACCCTGAAATCGTGACAATGAATAAAATTCTAATGTTTTTTAAGTTCCAATTTGCACATTTTTATTTGGCTTTTGATTCTGTAATCTTTAAGTTGCAAAATAAAAATCACCCTTCTAAGCTTTCCTCCTCTCGAAAGAGCCAGAAGACACTGAAGAGAGCAGTGTTGGTTTTTTTCCCCACAGATTTGTAACTGAAAGTTGAGATTCTCTAATTAGTTGTTATGTAAAAAAAATAATAAATGTGAACAAGTACTAGGAATTACAAAAAGTGCATAAGTAGACATCTCCTGCTGCTATAACTGTGATTGAGAGTTATCACTAGGAGTCCACTGCACGTCTTAGTCTAGCTACTGTATGAGACAAGGTGGGCATTTCTCTGCCTACTACATAACTAGGTCTTCAGACACTACAACAGAATTAAAGACTTATATTCTTAAAAA